TGAAATAAATTCATATATCTTAGATAAACAATGGAACAGTCTTTCACATTTAAGTCCATTCATAAGGGTCATTAAGTACTTCTTTCAACATCCGTTTCCTGGTTTTCTTCACATCACCTATGATCTGCAATATTCATACAAAATTATATTATATGATGTCAGAATTATAATGCTTGAATATAACTTAGAAATCTGAAAGATCAGTCAATGTCCTTTAATAAAGCAATATCAATAATTACTGTCCATGACCATGATACATATGATTTCAGCATTTCATGTATCTCTTTAATATTTAATGCTTTATGATAAGTGAAAAAAAAATAACATAATCAAGGACCAACCTAGGGGGCGACTGAGGCGAAATAGTCGCTTTTGGGCTCCAAACTTCGCCGTAATTTATCATGAAAGCGAAGTTTTCAGTCGCCTTATAAGTTAGCATTTGCAAACCCTTCAGAGCTCCAGATAATTTTTTAGCACAAAGTGTATTTACTCCCAGATTTTAAAATCAATGCAGATTTTGCTTTTGACAAAAAACCAAGAGAGTATTTTGTAAATTTAATTCCCATTTTAGCACTGACAAATATTTTACTTAAATCATCATCTCTGCTTATAAAGAGAGATTTGCTAGCCTCGATAATTACTTGATTCTCATCCTCTGATTTTTCTGCATGGCAATTCAAGTTTAATTTTTCAGCTTTTACATGTTCTAGACATCTGACATGTATTATGTCTATGCAGTTTTCTGAAAATTAGTTGAACCTTGATTTGCCCATACTGTTTTCACATTTTGATCGCTGCATATTTTACATATCAGCACCTTCTGATCTCCCTCCCCTTTAACTATTAACCAAGGATACTTTCGCCTCCAGGACCTAATTGTTCTCTCCGTAACGTTTTCAACCCTATTGTTTCTTCTCATTTACAACTGCTGTGATTATATCCTCTAAAATAGAGGTCACAAGCTTGGCTGTATCAGTAGTAAACGAGCCTGCTGCACGGCCTTTCTTTTCAAAATAATCAAACAAGGATTTATTCTGATCTACATCTATTTTCCGAAACCGGCCTGGTTTATTGGTCGCCATGACTAACAGTTATCGTAATCATTCAAACGCTTTAAAGCGTGTGTCTTTTATGACGGACAACCAAAGTACCGAGCTAACTTGGATTTACGTTACTAGATAGGTCGTAGTTGTTTTATTCTAAAGAGTACGCATTACTTTGAACTTCAATGCGTATTTTTGACTTCTAATGCGTATCTGTACGCACAGATTTTAATTTCAATGCGTATTTTGTAAAATTCAATGCGTATTTACGCAAATACGCACCTTATCTGGAGCTCTGCCCTTTATTGAAAATCATAAAAAAATCTAATAAGAAACATTGTAGAATCGTCAGTAGTTTATAAATCTTGTTTTATTACTGCTGAAATAAGCGAAACAGCAGGACACTTGCACCTGTTTCGCTACCAATGACCAAGTCATCGAATACTCTGTCGGAACTCCTCTAGATTTTACGCTTCCGTGTATGTAAAAGTCCATTGTTACAGGTTGTAAACAACAAGACGTAAAACAGCTGGACAGCTATCGATGTCATGCCAAAGATGTTGGAGATGATTTTAGATCTTTTTATTGTCAAATAATTAATTCATGCTGTGTATGCAGACATATTTTTACTGTTATATTGTAGAGTTATTAACTGTCTAAAGCTTAAGAAATTACACGTCTAATCTATACACACAGTCAAGTATTTCAATCGGCATGCAGTACTACATGCAGTAGTACATAAAAACTTTTTTAGAAAAAGAATTGAAGATTGAAAACGAATTCAATTTTGAAGTGAAAATTAAAAAAAATTATGACTATGCAAAGAGCCTGAATATATAAAATAACAAGAGAGAATATTAAAGTTAATTGTGCATACTATGCAAGAAATGAAAAAAAAAATTGATAAACAAGTTTATCAATAAGAAATTTATACAATGATATTGTTTAATTTTTGGGGTCAGATAATTTTTTTTTCATACTTTGTAATTGGAAAAATATAAAAACTAATTTTTTAAAAGAATTTTTTTCTCTTTTTAATTGTTTTTAGTATTATGTTAATACAGAAAAATTAATGAAATGTATTTATTAATAAAATATAAACAATGAAATAATTTTATTTTTAAGACGTTTATTAATGATTAATGTGCGCAAGGCGCGCCAAGAAGTCTCCCTAAATTTCAAAACTTCTCCCTAAATTTCTCTGAGGGAGAAGTGAAGTCTCCCTATATTTTTGGTCTAGGTTGGTCCCTGATAATATAAATAATGTTTTCAGCCTTATTATGTCATTGAGAATATATTACTACATGTATCTCATACTAAGAACCCTGCTTTAAGTTTAATTAGTGTGAGAGAAAACATACTCTTTATAATAACAAAAATATTAGGGAGAGATTTTTTTTTTTATTTTGATATTCGACCTAGAAATTGGTTGAAGATCATTGCAGACCCTCCACCCCATTGCACAAAAGCTAGATTACACCAGGGGAGAAATATACTCTAGCTGGACTATGATTTTAGATAAAGATATACAGTAGATTTTGATACTGACCTTTGACCTAGAAAATTAGTCCAAGGTCACTCTTCATCCTCTATCCACAGGCTCTCTGTAGAGAAACATGCTCAGAACAAGTGATATCAGATGGAGTGATGGGTAGACACTGTCTTAGGGCATCCACAGAACAGGACCTAAATATAATGCAATATATATGTATTACAGTATATATACACATGTACTTGTATGTTAATGATTTATCATATGCTGCATTGGACACATGTGATTTTATCATGGTTTACTTTAAAAATAAATGTATCTTATGAGTAATTTTATACCGGTATTGCATGTACGCTCAGTTTATTTAAGAAATAAATAACAAGTTTATAAACTGCAATGGGAGAGATACCACAAATGTACAGGGTGTCCCAAAACATATGTTACACTTTTGAACCATTATAAAAATTTTATTTCATCATGTTCATGAATTGGCTGATCAAAATTCAGTCAGTTTTAGATCTATATGATATACCATAAGGGACTTTCACATTTACAAAAGTTATTCCCCTTCGCAGGGTCAATCTGGGGTCAACCGGCTTAAGACGCTGTTTTCCCTCTTTAACCGTATCAAATTTGAGGGACAATATCTTAGAAATAAAATCTGCATGAACATATTCATTATGATTTTCATGTTGCCCCCATACTCTGGCAATACAGATACAGAGAGTTACTCAGTAATTGTCCAATATTTTTGAAGATTGAAAATATCAACAAGTAACTTAAAAAGGACAAAGTGGGAAAAATGAGCGATACGCCGACAATTGGAGAAAACTCTTAGGAATGTGAAATTCTTCTATTGGTGATGAAAATTCCTGTTTTAATGTCACTGAAAAATTAAGAGACATTAAAAATTTAAGCCCTATTGTCATACACGCATGCTGTTTTTTCATCCATATAACCTTTTAGTATTATAAAATTTACCAAAATTTAATACTTCAAATAATTTCATTGAATATCTATGAAATAAAGGAAAGCTTCCTTTAAGTAATCAAAATACTGACCAGCAAGAAATCAGTTAATAAGCATTTCCTTTTTTTCATTCAAATTTTGGGAGAGATCTCAGAGTTTCTTCCTGTTCTATTCAGGTTCGAGACGACAAAGTTTTATTGAAGTGTATGTATTAGAGAACTGATTGTATGTGACGTCAATCATAGCAATACACACATAACATGGAGGGGCAAATTGTTTCAGCCCTAGTTTTTACATAAAACTTCTTGCAGCTCACAGCTGATAAACATACCACAGTTCAGTATTTAAATAAAATTTAGAATCTTTTTCTTTTTCAGGCAATTGTCATATACATACGAATCATGAATGAATTACCACTTACCAAATGACCACATCCTGAATCATCATACATTTTCTGTGATTTTATCTCACTGGTTTTCTTTTAAAGTCACACAGTTTTCTTCTCTCTGAAATGATAAATTATGTCCAGTTAATATTGCATTCTTATTTAAACTAATTATGTAATAGCATTAGCAATAGTGATGGGTCTAAATAATCGGCTGGGCATAATCGATTAATAATCGATTATAATCGAAATTTTGAACTTCAATGAAATTGATAAAGAAAAGTTAAAACTTATTCAGATTTCTGTCAGACTTTTACAAAAAAATCATTTACTTACATAAAAAATTCAAAAATGTTAATTGAATTTTCTTTTTTAAAAAGTGGAAAATAATATTTTATTTTCTTTAAACAGTAGACATGGTATAGGACTATTGAAACAGAATTGGAATTTATTTTTCATAAAGTCCATGCAATGGGTATTTTACTGATATTAGTCCCACCTTTCATTTAATACATGTATTTATTTCTTAAAATTAGTTTTAATTAGTTTAAATTGCAAGTTTTAATAGTAGTTATCCAGAAGTAAGACTTGTATTTCTGATTATAAATTACATTTAAAGATAGACTAATTATGTTTTCCTTTGTATAGTAAAACCTTACAATTTCAACGTTTCCTGGTTTTAGTTTGACCCCATATTTAATCAATTCATGGTGGTAAAAGTATCAACAAGACCCGGAATCCTTCCATGTTTTCAACATTCATTACTACTTTTATGCTCTTTCCACTTGGATTTGGTAATAAAATTAAAGTATGACAATTTTATTTTTTGTTAGCGATGTCAGCGACATTTATTTAAAATCGATTAATAGCATCGAAGAGCTTCTAACGACCGACAATCGATTGTCGGTGACAATCGTTCCATCACTAATTAGCAACAACCGGGATGGAAGAAAAAATAACAAGAAGTCTCTGTTGAGACTGTAGCTCTACTGGTTTGTACTTATCAAAAACTGATGCACAGAATTATGTATCTTAGTATAGTCTACTTGTGTGCCAAGTTATATTGAAATCAGACTAAAATTTAAGGAGGAGTAGTGTTTGCAGACAGATGGACAGACAGGCAGATGGACGGACGCCGGATGCATTACTATCGCATAAGCTATTCTGGTCTCTGACCAGTAGAGCTAAAAACAAGATGCGCTTGTGAAACACAGCAACAAAGTTCGAAAAAGCAATTTTGTTTAGCATACAGGTCACAGTCAAGATCACATAATCATTGTTCTAAAGACCTTGTTGCCATTTGAAAGCACTTCATTAGTGGAATATGCATACTAAATATGAAGCAACTATCTCGTATAGTTCTTAAGTTATGGTGAAGGTTTAAGTTGACAACAGACACTCAGACAGACACACAGATATACAGTTATGGCAAAAGTTTGAACATTATAACTTGGTATACACACAGCCACTTCGAGGTATCAAGGGTAAAATTCACAGCACAGAGGGACTGCATTTTGACCTCGAGGGATCAAGGGTTTCGAGAGATCAGGAGTTCGAGAAATCAAGAGCAAATCTGCTTAGTTATATAGTGGAAAAAATGGGGACTGGAGACTCACTTCAAGCGATCAAGAACTTCTGAGAAATCGAAGTTCAAGCCATCAAGAGTTACACATACAGATATAAGAAGCATGTTATTATTTGCAATTTTGACCTAATGACAGCTAAATCTGTTTAGTAAGACAATACCATGTACATGTATGTAAGTAGTTTTATTGTGCATGATTATTTATTTTCTTGATCTTCTCAACTTGAAGCGTTCTATATTTTATTACGAAGTTTGTGATAAACATAATGAAACATACCCTTTTCCACGTCACATCCTGTATCAGACCTTCGACCAATATCAGCCCTAGGGCCTGTGTCCCTCTGGCTAATATTGGTGTCTTGGGCTAGGATGTGATATGGAAAAGAGTATGTATTATTCGCTATACATTGACCTACTCAGGTCAATAATTGTGAAAAAACTGATAATTCAAACTGATGATTCATTTGCATTTCTTGACATACTATCAATATTAATTCACTATTAGACTTTTCTTTTTTTCCATCTTCATCTCAACAGGTTAGACATTACAAAAAAAAAATCTTTTGAGCAGTAAACTACTTCAATAAACAATAAAACAAACCTAATCTCTTCAGAAAAGTGGACAGGCTTTCACCTACATTTCACTTTTTTTATGTACGAGTATTTTCCCTCCATATCATCGTCATGCATATGATTAAGGGTTACGGTCCTACTAAACAGAGTATCCTTAGTACGATAGAGTACTTTAGATACGCTAGTAATATTTTATAATTTGATGCAATTAAACTACTTTTTGACATGTATTCAAACCGGATGTTCTACTTTATTTTAAAATATTGAATATATATTTTAAAAGAATTTTTTTTGTATATTTTCTTTATATTTTAGGAGTTATTTCAATATTTGATTTCAGGTTACGGTTTATCGTTTGCTATATCACTGTCTCAAATTTCTCTTAACAATATAAACGTGTTGAAATGTCTCATTGTGAATGTGCAAAATACTTATACATGCAATTAATTTAATATTTGTAAAAAATTTAATATGTAAATCTTTGGCCATTGCATTTATCAAGTGACTGGGTCTGAAACAAAATAGTTCTCGAGATTGGGACATACTATTCCCACGGGGAAAATAAGTCCCACATGAGTCCCACAGAAAAATAATGAGTCCCACAAGTAAATATGATATTTTATTAACATTTAACAACATATCTTTATAGATTATTATTGTTTAGATATATTTTGAATAAAATTTTGTCACAAAAAATGTTTTAGAAGCCGGTTACAACGATTAATTACAAAAACAAAGAACGATAACTCCTATATCCTCATATAACTCTATAGTGTTTCCTAATCCCAACAACAACGATAACATTTCAGTATCTTTTGAAAACAAAAATTAAAAGATATAATAATTTTATTATTGAATTAATTATATTTTAAAAATGCAAGAAGTTCTAGGATGTTTTCTAATGATCGTGTATAAACAAAGAGCAATAACTCTTACATCTCGTACTATTGAAGTAACAAGCCATACAAATTTTAATTCTAAAGATTTTATGAAACTTTCACAATGTTCCTTGGTTTATATGCCTTCTATAGCAGTTCTAAAGACTAAAAAAAACTACTGCCAAAAACAGACATTTACAATCAATTTTTATATAAATTTAACAATTTTACAACATCAAACTTTGGGAAATTCAATGATTTTTTTTCAATGATAGTCTTGTATTTATCAAGCATATGAGAAAGAGATTTTTAGTTATATGTGCAATGTACTAGCTCAATAATCTAAAGCCATTCTTTCTTTTGAAAATTAAGACTATACAGTCCTAGAAAATTATATAGACCTACAAGTATTGTTTTAATTTAAAGATATAGATTTTTAGTGAACTAGTTTACTCATTCATAACATGGTATGAAATTGGAAGTGATTTATATCTGACAAAAGTGATAAATTAGTATTTTAATGATATCTTCATTTTTTTTTTTTTTAAAATACATTAAACTTTTATAATACTTTGTATTTTATAACAGTTAAGTGAAATGAGGAATCAATTGACTGCAAAAATCAGAATTCCAGTTGACTGAGTTGAGATAGCTGTGTTTTCATCCATTAAAGATACTTGTGTTGTGAAAAACTTTCAGTTAATTAGAATTAGTACTCAGATGCATGGGCTTGTATCATCCGGAAATATATTTGATGAATATGATGAACGTGGAAAATGTTAAAAATATGTTTTAATTTTTAATTCCGAAAAGTATTCATTTATATATATAGAGAGAACATACATATGGAGCATACATTTTAATAAACATGATAAAAGGCGAAACGTTGGACTATTAAATTTTACTGAACATATAGCATGCACATAAACGGTGCCTTTGGGGCCTAAATAATCTAAGTTATGCTATATCACTGTCTCAAATAAAATTCTCTCTCTCTTTTCTCCATATCTCTATAGTAATCTAAATTTTTATCTTTATTTACATGATGAATAATAAACACATTTTTAAATAGAGAAAATGGACAGATAAAACTCTCTCTGCAGGTATTTGTTCTACAACTTAATACAAAATGGTTGTGCCTTTAATACTATTATTTGGAATCTTTTCATACAAGTCAAGAATTTACAATAGTGAATAAGAATTGTTGTTGCTAAATCAATTCTTTATTATTTATTTTCAAGGAATGTTTTTATTTATGAAATCAAATACAAAAAATTTTTGATTAATGACCTTATTTGTCATACATAATAGTAGCTGAAATTTCAATAATTCTACATTTAATTTATTATTTTATTTGAATTCCAAATGGTGTAACCTAGCCCCAGCCTTATCAAAGTCTTAAAGACACTGGGTGAAAGGGTGAAACCATCTTAACTTTTCACATTTGCCACCAGTCTGCTTACACCTTCTTCTTCGTCCTTCTCGATCCTCCAAAAATGGCGCCTCGGGAAATTGACCAATGAAATAAAGCGCCTACAGAGCGATGCAGGATGGGAAATATAAATTGTTTACATTCACTGTTATGATTAAGTGTGATTAAGAGATCTTATATTAGAATTTAATTAAGTTTTCCCCATTTTTCATGGATTATAAAGAGGGGCTCCTTTATTAAATATTTTTTGCAGATATGATGTGTAGACCTAGTATATTTAGAAAAATAGCGGTTAAATACATGAGGCAAGAGCAGAAAAAAAATTGTTCTTGACACCTCAACTTATTTGCCTTCGGGATATGGTTTTGGGGCTTGGTTGTTGGTAGTGGCCGTCCTTGCTGAAAGTACCCCCCCCCCCTCTCTCCGCTTCTTTTAACTGTTACATGTATGATTATGAATTTATAATCACCAAAAGATGTTAAATTTTTAAAAGCACATTTTTTTATTGTGAACTTTCCACAGGAATCCTAAAAGGCAAGAAAATGAGCTACAATTATAATATGATTATCAAGAACAGTTTTTTTTTTTTTATTTCAATAGTGATGATTGAAAAGTTCGGTGATTAATAATTCATTGCTAATAAATTGTTGTTTTTT